AGCTGATAATGTATGCATTAAGTCCCCGTCGAGAGGACATCTAATGAATCTAATTAGTGAAGTTCCATGTGCATTAGTTATGTACATCCCCGCCTCTCTCTCTTTGCCGCTCTCAAAATACTGTGAACATCCATAATGGGTAATTCTCTCTCTCTCTGTCTTTCTGTCTATCTATCTCTCTGTCCATAATGGGTAATTGACTTAAAATACACTGGATATCCATTATGGGTAATCTCTCTCTCTCTCTCTCTCTTTCTTTCTCTCTCTCTTTTTTTCTCTTTCTCTTTCTCTCGATCTCTCTCTATATATCCATAATGGGATTCTCTCTCTCTCTCTCTTTCTTTCTCTCTCTCTTTCTCTTTCTCTTCTCTCCCATAATGGGGATCTCTCTCTCTCTCTCTCTCTCTCTCTCTCTCTCTCTCTCTCTCTCTCTCTCTCTCTCTCTCTCTCTCTCTCTCTCTCTCTCTCTCTCTCTCTCTCTCTCTCTCTCTCTCTCTCTCTCCTCTCTCTCTCTCTCTCCTCTCTCTCTCTCTCTCTCTCCTCTCTCTCTCTCTCTCTCTCTCTCTCTCTCTCTCTCTCTCTCTCTCTCTCTCTCCTCTCCTCCCTCCCCTCCCCTACTCCCCTCTTCTCCTCCGCTCTTCTCTCTCTCTCTCTCTCTCTCTTTGCCTCTCTTAAAATACACTGGATATCCTTAATGGGTAATTCTCCTCCGAGGAATCTGAATAGGAAGGTATTCAGAGTCGACTTCTCTTAGCCAAACTTCTCAACACTTGTGGGCCCTGAGCTGTATGCATTTGATTCGCCTTGTGAAAATCTGCAGCGCGCCTCGATCCGGGTTTCGATGCTTCACTCTAAGGTTTCGAATCTCTACGAGGTTTTGGATAACAATTTCGAATTTTTAACAAGGTCTGGATATCAGGTTTGAATGTTTTGGAGTTCGAATACCTATAAAAGTTGTGGAATTCGGGTTTTTTATTTTTCAGAGAGGTTCGAATGCCTATTTTCGAATCTCGGGTTCGAAATCTGAGGTTCTAATCTCTCAGGTTCGTAGACCGAGGTGATTCGAGTTTTTTTTCGAAATCCTAGGAAATTCGATTCCCTCAGAGGTTCGTAAATTCCGGAAATTCGCATCTTTTAGAGGTTCGAAATCCTGAAGAAATTCGAATCCCTCAGGAGATTCGCATTTATCAAAGGTTCGAAATCCGAGGACTATTCGAACCCCTCAGAGGTTCGAAAATCCGAGGACTATTCGAACCCCTCAGAGGTTCGAAAATCCGAGAGATTCGAACCTCGAGGTTCGAAATCTCAAAGATCAGAATCCCAGACTACTATCTCGTCTGAAGCACAGGTGAGTTACAGACAGAGAGAGCATTATCTGGCTGTGACGCGAACTAACTCTCTGTTGAACCTTGGGAGAGATTACTCAGCGTTCGACTCTAATGAAATTCGGGTGTCTAAGTTTGCCGGCGAAGTGTAGAGATTCGCTAATTCATTCACTTACTCACTCTCACTCACTCACTACTCTCACTCAGTCTCACTCACTCTCTCACTCTCTCACTCTCTCTCTCTCTCTCTCTCTCTCTCTCTCTCTCTCTCTCTCTCTCTCTCTCTCTCTCTCTCTCTCTCTTTCTCTTTTGCTATTTCTCTTTGTGTATTTTTGCTTATATATCTATCAATATCTATATATCTTCCTGTTTACCTCAGTCCTTCTCCACCATATCATTTTTATTTTCATTTCTTCTAATTTGATTCCTCTTTTTCAACTCACGCCCACCATTTCTCACCTCACGCCCATTATTTTACTCCACCTCTCGGCGCCCACCTCCCTCACGCCACCACCACTCCACCTCCTCACGCCCATCCTTCTTCCCTCTCACCTCACGCCCACCATCACTCCCACCTCCTCACGCCCACCATTTCACCACCCTCCTCACTCCTACCTCCTCACCACCATCTCACGCTCTCTCACTCTCACGCCCCTCACCTCACGACCGACCTGCCTCACGCCTCACTCACCTCACGCCATTTCCTCACTCCCACCTCCTCACGCCACCCTCACCCCCTCTCTCCCTCTCACCTCCGCCCATTATCTCACTCCCACACTCCTCATCACCCCTCACCCCACTCACCCACACCCCACCATCTCACGCCCACCCTCCTCTCTCTCTCCCCGCAGGCGCGCGTGAAGCTGCAGCAGAGGAGCTACGTGGAGAGCGAGGGACTCCTGCGCCTCGTCCTGTCCCAGAACCCGCACCATCAGGAGGCTCTCTTCCAACTCTCCCTCCTCTACACCCACACCAACCGCACGCAAGACGCCCTCTCCCTGGCTCGCCTGGCCGCCCACAACTGCTCCAGGCCGCCCACGCTCTGCGCCCACCTCCACGCCCACTACGGCGACCTGCTTAACGACAGGAATAACGTGGACCAGGCAGCACAGGTTCGCGGGAGATTTATGGCCTCGTTCGTACGGATTTCGGCGTCGAGGATAGTCCCCCCTCGA